CGCTTCATCATGCGCAGCCTTATCCTATATATAAGCAATTTCTTGTCATGCCTCCTATTTGTCAAATCCCGAACCTTCTGGTCAGTCATATGCTGGAATCTGACTCTGTTATGCTGACAAGGTTCCTTCCTGGCACTTCCTTTTTGTCTCCCTTACAATAAGTCTTTTAAGGATTGCGTATTGATGGATCCTTCAGTTCAAATGTAAATTTCGTGATGGCCTCATTTGAACCTGGATAAAAATTGCCTTAGAGTTCTGACTACCCATTTGATGGTCATAGTCGGCAGTCACCTTACGAACCAGAGTAATATAAACTTACATCTTCGTTCTATGTTCCAAGAACAGATTCTTCATGTGAAGATATTTCACATCCTTTTGGGGACTCTGATGAAGCCAAAAAAGATCTCTCCCATAACACTTTTGATATAAAATTAAATGCCAGATTTTCCAAAAATATCCAAATTAATACTTAGTTGAGGCAAGAGCATTTCAGCAAATAAATTAACTGGTAAAACAGGGCACACAGTGGTCTTTACATGCTAGTGACCTTTCAATTATTTTCATCCCACCCTCAATTGCAACCTGGATAAGTAATCAGTGCAATTCATCCTATTATCAAAATATAACTGAAATAAACAAGATTTATCTGCAGTTAATGGAGGAGTTGATATTATGCGAACTACATATCGAAGTCGCTCAATCGATAATAGACAGTTTGTGGTTAAAGTTGTGGCTAGCTAGAGCATTAAGGAAATGCTATTAATTTAGTTACCGTTAGAACAGTATTGTGGCACATGGTGAGCATAATTACTTAAATTTTTTTCCATTCATTCAAAGCAATGGTAATTAGAAAAAAAGAATCCTTAATATCTCATTCAGATCGAGTCACTTTTAAAGTATCTGAAATTCAGAAATGTCAACATTTGTAAAATGTTGCACACAATTAGGTCGCACATAAAGTGTTACAAAATTAAGTATCAATATGTAGTATAAATTTTAATCGGCACCTCGTGCGTTCTCTCTAAAAGGATAGGTGAGCAAGTAAGGAAGTGGGGAATAAAAACTGTGTTCAGAG